GTGAGAAAAGGTGCTCCGCTGTCTGACCACTGTGTGGTGGAGAGGGTGCTGATCATTGTCAATGATGGATAAGAGTTTATTCAGCGTTCTCCTCTCCACCACAGTCTCAAAAGACTCCAGCCTGAGTCCAAGTACAGAACCTGCCCTTCTGATGATTTTATCAAGTCTGTTGGTATCGCTGGCTCTAATACTGCTGCCCCAACACACAGCAGCAAAGAAAATGGTGCTGGCAACAACAGACCGGTAAAAGATCTCCAACATCTTGCTGCACACATTAAAGGATCTCAGCTTCCTCAAGAAATAGAGTCTGCTCATCCCCTTCTTGTACACAGCCTCAGAGTTAGACCTCCAGTCCAGTCTATTGTCAGATATCACTCCCAAGTATCTATGGTCCTCCACCTCCTCCACCACCTCCCCCCTAATCCGTAGTGGCTGTGAAGACCTCTTCTCTCTCCTGAAGTCAATCACCATCTCTCTGGTCTTGTTGACATTCAGCCTCAGCGGTACTCAGCTGTTTGGTTTTTTTCTGACCATATAGACAACTTTAAATTACTGTATAAAGCTTCATATACTTGTTAAGATGTAAGTTGGTGAGACACTGTTGAGCTTCAGGATGTTAGAAAGTCAGTTGTTAGCTGACAAGGTGATGAGTCAGCGTTATTTTCAAGTTTATTCATAGGATGATTTTATTCATATTGAACCACCAGTCCAATCAACATACATACATCCCCACTAATATCTGGATAAATGTCAGTCAAGCTCAGTAGAACCAACATGCATTGTGTACTGTAGCTATCAACACCTTTCTGGAATAAAAATTGCTGGAATATGTGAACATTATTCTTGTCAGTTATGTTACTCTGCATTGACCTTTTATCATGGATTATATGATTTTTAATCCATTCAGGGGTCCGTAAGATTACAGTAGATTTTTTTCTTTGGTCTTTTAGGAGACTATACCTTTGGGAAACACCAAAATCAAGAGTTTTACCTAAACTTTAACTCAGAAATAAAATGGAAAACTCTCAAAGGAACCCAGAAACCACCAAGTTAAACCTTTTCATCAAACAACGTAAACCCAAAAAGCAGATTCTTTGCACAACATGGACTGAGGATGACATCTGAGAAAAAGGCCTACCGGTAGATCAACAACCTTAAGCTTAACTTGAATACCCAGCAAGTCAAACATTCAGATGAGAAAAATATGGAACTTAATCATATGAAAAATATTTGGAGGAGTCAAAGGTTGAAAGGCTGAGATTTAAAAAACAAAAACAGTATCAGATGTTGGGCATTGTAAAGGTAAACCATCTGCCTTCTGTAAAGTTTGAGGAGCTTTGCAAACAGTAGAGCACCTGCAATTCTTCCTCTTCCCCTTTCATAAAAAAATAGACGGTTCAAAGTTTGACACAGTTCAAGCAGGACAGTAATCTGGAACACAGAGCCAAACCGTTTTTAGATTTTGATTGCGGGTACGTTTATTAAACTTTTTTTAAAGGTAAAATTAAAGCCTACAAGTTTGGTCTTTGGTTGTAAATCCATCAGTTTGAATAATTAATATACCCTCTGCTGTGGTTACAATGTTTTACTCTGTTCATGAATTCCCTAACTAAAACTGAATTCTCAAAACACTAAGCGCATTTAGAACGATGATTTAAAAAGATCACAAGTGAAAACTAATAAAACGAAAACATAGGAAGGTACGCCGTTATATAAAATGAAGTTACAAGTTTTATTATCATTCCACCTTAAAAAAAAGAATGATTGCGATATTCCATGAGAATTATTAGGAAATGCATTTTGCTAAAAATGATGAGTTTGCTAAGAACATGACAAGTTTTCAACAAACTCGTGACCAAAACGGATTGAAAAAATCTGTACAAACCTGACTGTGCTTTTTTTTAGCTTGTGAAAGAAAACATGAAGACATACTTAAAAATCAATGCAACAATAAGATTTATCACTAGAGCTGTAACTTGCACAAAGCAGGCAGTTAGTGAGTTTTTATTTGGACCCACTAGTGACTAGTAAAGCACTATTTGAATCCAGGCAATTTACCATCATGTGGCAGAATATTGCTGCATTGTTGTTGCTAAAAATGCATGCTGATTAATGCTACCCTACTTTAAATTCATTAAAATTTGAATTAAATTCAAATATATTTTATTAATCCAAAAGGGAACTTAAATGTTGCAGTAACCCATGCGTTATTTTTTAAACAGGTGTTGTAGGTGTTGATAGGTATAGGCAGGAAGGATCTTCTAAAGCAGTCTGTTTTGCACCAGATCTGGAAAATCCTCTTACACTGTTTTCTTTCAAAAAATCTTCTAAAGAAAATGCTCCCTGTTGTCCATAATGTTCTTTACTTTATGAAGAATTCTTCTTATGTTTTGTTTTGTTTCAATGTTTTAATCTGTAATAAAAAAGTTTCTCATGTCCTCTGGCCTGACAAAGTGAGCGGGATTACAAGAAAAAATCTGGAAAAGATCAGATTTATTGGAAGCTCCATCTAATCATAAGGATTTTTTAAAGGCTGCAACTACATAGCAACACTTTTAGAATCACATAAAGTGACATTGTGTTTGTTTTTATAGGGCTTATTTCCTGTTAATGCAGAAGCCACGTAGACCTTTACTTCATCAATAAGATTGAGTTGTGTCCTCATGATGTAGTAAGGAAGGAAATAACAGTTAACAGAAAAAGTTCTTAACTAGAAAAAAAAACTTCTCAATGTAACGTGGCTAAAACACCACTTACATTTTTATAGAAGACAATTTATAAACAAATGTGCTCCATTTGTATATAAATATTTTTTTCTTTTCAGTCATGTTTCTAACCACATCACACAAATGCATTGGAAAATACTTAATTTCTTTTATAGTTAAATTATGAAAACACTTCTTAGATTTCTGTTAGACAGAACTGCTCATTTCTGATAAAGTGAGCTAAAGTGGTTTAGTTGTTCACAGATATGATACACTTTGTGATAATTGGCATCAATGCAATTTGCAGAACAAATATGCAAAAGGGTCCCTTCTTAAGGGCCACTTTCATCAATTTTCCTAAATACATCAGGTTATGAAGGACTAGAGGTTGTTAACCACAGGTACGCTGATGACACACGACTTCCCATTCTTGTTTCACCATATAATATTAAACCTCTGTTTTCAATCTATCTAATGGAATTGTCTCTGTAAAGTGCCTTACAATGACATGTGTAATCAATTGGTGCCATATAAATAAAATGAACTGAAACCCATTTTAATTACATAAAATTAGATAAGTCAGAATTTACTTCATTGCCACTCTATATAGAACCATCCATTATCTGACATGCTTATCCCAAGTGGGGTCACAAGGGGTGCTGGTGCCTATCTCCAGCAGTCAATGGGTGAGAGGCAGGGTAAACCCTGGACAGGTTGCCAGTCCATTGCAGGGCAACACAGCGACACACAACCATTCACGCACACACTCACACCTAAGGCCAATTTAGAGAAGCATGTTAACCTAACAGTCATGTTTTTGGACTGTGGGAGGAAGCCAGAGTACCCAGAGAGAACCCATGCATGCTCAGGGAGAACAAGCAAACTCCATGCAGGAATCAAACCCAGAACCTTCTTGCTGCAAGGCAGCAGTGCTACCCACTGCACCACTCTATACAGCAGCAATTTACAACAAATGTTGTACATCTCTTCATAAAATAACAAATTCATATACTGAATTACAGTAATTAGTTGTTCCATCTAAGCTGAAAGATTTAGTCAGTCAGTTACACACAATTTATTTAACTATGTAGTTGCGCCGATGCTTACATTTTATTCTTCTAATGTAGTTCTTATTCATAATGTGGTTTCATCTAAGTCTGTTCTCCAATTATACTGTAGAGCGCAGTGTATGTTCTTATTAACAGTACTGTAAAAAATAATCCTGTCATCTCCTTTATAGACACCATAATTAAAACATTGCACTCTGTTAATCAGTACTATAACTGGTCCATTTTTGTCACGGTGGTTTCTACAGTTAAACACAACTCAACTTAACAGAAAACAGTAAAAAAAATTATACATAGAATATATACTGGTAGGGGGGAGGGGTCTATCTGATTACGTTGGGGTGTTTTCCATTACCAAACCTCTGCAAACATATAATTTGGTGCAAATAACCCAGCATAACCTAAATTAGTTTATTTTTATCTCAAAATAAGAAAACTTCAGAAATCTACTCAAGACAACTACATTTATTTTTAAAGGAAAACAAAAAACATTTGATCTTTGAAGTATAATAAACTAAATCACTGGATTTAGTAAATCCTTGACCTGATGACGGAACTGAGGGCAAAGGTCCATCTTAAAGGTGTACACACTGCAAATGTTTCCTTTTTCTGACCGCCTCAAAAAATGAGGTGTTCCCATAGTTAAAGTTTTAATCAAACAAACAGGTCATTGAAAATATTCACACAGAAGTTTGCACAGCTAAGCTGACCAAACTCTCAGTATTTAAACAAAAGATAGAGGAAGCATGTTTAAACAAAGGAGTGCAAGAAAGAGAACAAAAGCATATAAAAAGAAACTTCAGTAATTAAACCACAGAAAACGCCAGAAAAATGGCTTGATTCTCTGCATGAAATCCCAGGGAGGCATGCAGCAGGGTTGGCAGGCTTTTTTCACGCTACTGCTTCAGTGCTTCTGCTATATTTTTAACGCAACAGGCGGTAAACAGCCGGAAACTGGGTGTCTTCAGCTGAAGCACACCCCCTGTGCCACACCGTGACCAACACATTAAACTCCCCTCAGACACACAAACTCAGCGGCGCAGAGAAATAATATAGAGGAGATAAAAAAAAAAACTCTTGCTGGTATCTTTGACTTTCTTTGACATTTTAAGTAATCAAAACTGACCAAATCTAACATCTCTAAACAAGGATATTGATCTTCAAATCCAGCTGCATAAGGATGAAATTCTACAGATAAAAGCCCCATATAACATGAAGAACATCTTACCTCTGTATCTCTATTGAAAGAACAGTTAACCCAGTTTGGAGAAGTTTCCTTTCCTTATTCTAGTCCAAAGAAATGCCCTTCGTGCTTTTCCTTAAAGCGCTGACACTATGAACTGACCCACACACACATACACAGTTTGACAAGTGGGTCATGCGGCCGTGGTGGACTGCTGCTGCAGAATGAGGAACTTAGAGGAACTGCTCGGGGATTTTTCTATCTTGCCCAAACTTCCTGGTACAATTGTCTAATGATTATTTGCATAATCAGCAACTGACACATGCAGACATTTTCAGGCAGAAACACACAGACACAGCTGTCTGTGTTTTTAGAAACTGGGCATTTCTTATAAGAACTGCAACAAAACATCTAATTTCCCTAAATGGAAGATTTTATTTATTTTTTCAAGCCACAGTCCTTTGCACTTTTCCAAACTTTCTTTGAGCACAAGAGAAAAATTTAATGTAGGGTTTTTATTTAATAGGTGAGAAGAAAGTATAGCATGGCTTGGAAAATATGACGCATGGTTTTAAAACTATTTTTAAATCATACAAGTTAGGTTTCCATCTGTAGTCGCCCCCACCTTGGTTTACTATCCCTTAATAAAATACAGTAAAGCTCATTTCCATTTAAAATCACGTAATGGCTAAAGTACAGCGTACTTCCAGGTTCTTCAGAGAACGTTGGTGAACAAGCAGCAGAGTAGAGTCAAAGAACAATCTCCAATAGGCTCTGAACATGACACAGAGTAACATCCAATCCATCATCTAAAAAATGGAAAGAGTACATCCCAACTGCCGATCTACTCAGATATGTCCCTTAAAGAGGCCAGGCAGGAATAGCATAAACACAAGAACACAGTGAAGGCGTTTATGGTCACTAAGGGGGAAGCATCTAATCATCTAATACTGTACAAAAAAAACTCCCAAGGCTCAGACCTGGTGGAAGAAGCATAATCCTGTATGGATGCTTTTCTTCAGCCCGAACAGAGAAGATGTTTATAAATTGGAAAAAGGATAGAAATAATGGCAGTAAAAGAGAAGTTAGAATTACAGGCTGCAAAAAAAAAACAAAAAAAAAACAATAATAAGTTAACCTTCCAACAAGACAACAACTCTTAACATAAAACTTGAGATCATTGTATCATTCCTGCAATCTTAAAGAGTCACTCTCCTTCATCCTCATAGTGTATCGCTTCGATTTCATACCACGTTTTAGATGTTAATTTGTTGAACATCTTTTTTTATAAATCCCTTTAAAATGCGTTGAAGTTTGTGTTTGTAGCCAAGGCATCATTTAAAAATGTACACCTCTGAAAGGCACATCAACTTCTTCAACAGTGCAACCTGCTGGTCAGGCTGGAGAACTGCAACAACACAGGAAACTTCCTTTTTTTCATTTCTTTTATTGATCCTTTGTTATTGTGTTTGACAAAAATTGAACAAAAAATGATCACAAATGAAGAAACCATGCAAAACATTGAATTATGAAGAGCTGAATTGAAACAAACCTCACAAAAAGAAGAGCTACTGTCATTGAAAAAACAGACAACCCTAGTTTTCTTCCTTTTTTTTGCTCTAAGGGTATAACACCTGAATACAATAAAAAAAAAAAAAAACAGGACCGTATGTGACTGTAGTGAGAGAAGACATGCAGATTGGTCTGTGTTAATAATCCGCATGATTCAGTTCTATACAAGTGAGCAGGACTGTAAGTTAGCCAAACGTTCACACAAACAGTGTTCCTGGAAGCTCTGCTGATAGTTGCATATTTACATTTAGAAGTAGTTTGTCAGATGCACTTACTGATCCGCAGTGCTGAGAGGAAGAAGAAAAGACTGACACCTCTGCAACTGCAAACAGCTTTGATATATGGCCTGTGTAAGTCAAAGCAGTCATTAATCTGTACTTCTCCTCTCAAACAATAAAAATCATGTGTTTTACTCTTTGAACCAGGAAAAAGGTTGACATAAACAAGCAGTCTGCAGTAAAATAATAACACTTAGATAACCCCGAACCGCCAATCAAGACGCACCAAAAAAAAGAACGAGACAGTCATAAATTTGATTCCTCACAGAGAATAAAGCACATATCATCTCAAAGGTCAAAGAAATCACAGTAGGTTTTATTATCTTTTAGAAATAAGGAAGTGTTACTAACTTTTATTACACTGCTGCATGTTCACATGCAGTTTGATGAGAATGTGGCCTGCTACAGCTGCTTTTATTTAGCTGATCTGCAGTGAAACCTAAACAAATACTATGGCAGGACTAAAGGACTCAGAGGGGGGAGAAGGGACACTTCTAATTCTAATTTATTGAGTCTAGGTTACATATTTTAAATCTAATTTGGCAGTATAGGTTATCGAAGTGCAATTTCCATTCCTACCAGCAGGGGGTGACTCCTTGAGAAAGAAAAATGGAAGTCAAATGTTTTTTTTTAAGTCCGGGAAGAGATGAGCACAACCTAATCTAATATCTTACATCACTAATGTCTTTATAGTTTGAAAAGTCTGTTTCTTGTTATCGTCAAAATAGCAAGATGTTTCATGGTCCACATTTAGACCAGCGTACAACAAAACAGACCTTTCAGACTCTCTGACTAAAGGAAGATTAAAGAAGTTGTGATCCAGACCCTACAGTAGCTTTTCTGTCTGTACAATGTTGCTTGTAGCTTTGTGAGTCAACATGATTCATGATCTGACCTCGGTTTAACAATATCAGCAATTATTTTTAACATAAAGCCAAACCCACAGATATAGTTGCATAAACATCTTTCCATTAGCACCTAAAAGGTCACAGATTTGCACTTTTATGCTATTTTGTATATAAAATGAGTTCCCTGAGTGTGAGTTTAAAGCCAGGATGACAGCTCCGCTGTGTTCAATAAGACGCATGTTTGTTTGTTTTGAAGCTTGCTCCTGTAAAGCTTTTAGATCCTTTTAGGTTATATGTACCACAAAATGCTTCATTGTTTTAAGAGATGCACCAATGAACAAGACAGACAATAAACAGGGATGTTTTCCACTTGCTAGCCAGGTATAAAGGTCCAAATTGGACGTTCTTGGTCTTTCACCATTTTTATAACTTCCAAAGCGTTCCAAGAGCTGCAGAAATATATTTTGGCCGGGGATCCTTTTTTATGCTTTTGAAGACTTGAGCTTGTTTTTTTCTTTTTCCGTTTACTAAGCAGAGTCCCTAAAGAGAGACTTCTCTTCTTCGTCTCAAACTCTTTACTAAAAACCGAGCACATGCACCGTGACAAACTACTCAAGTAAGGCTGTGATGACATTGTTATTATTAGAAAGGTGCAAAAAGAAGGATGAACATTTTAAAGGACACGTCACATTACCTGCATACTATTTCTTGAGGAGCTTCCTGTCGTATGAAACAGAAACATATCAGTGTAAATAGATTTACACACCGTTTGAGTGCAGCTAAGTCCATAATTATCTGCTTTAGGTCAGTTCAAAACCCATTAACTGGCAATAGAAGCAGAACTGCTTCTATTGAAGCTACTCTCACTGTTAACTATTGTACCTATTTCAGAACACACATCAGAACCTGGCCTATTTCCTTGGTTTTCTATTTGTCCTTCCGTGTGTGTCTGACCTCAAAGACCCAAAAGAAAAAATCAGTTTGAAAAGAACTACCGAGTCATTATCTTGTGCACTCCTGGCATTGGAAAGCCTCAGTCGTTCCATTTTGCAGCACTGAGTGATCACATCTCAACATCTCAGCAGGAGTGAGGGCTCTGGCTGAAGGCCTATAAGCAGTGATGCCCCTAACCTCCAGCCACCGGGCCTTTCTGAGGCAACAGATTCACTGCTACAGAGGCTGCATTGATCTGTCCGCCAGAAGGAGAATGTAGCAGTTTAGCTGTTCCTCTGAGTCGCCTCCCGCTGGGCCGAAGCAGAGGAGCTGTGACTGTCCTCCATGTCTTCTTCATCTGCAACACATAGTAACACTGAATGTTAAATCAAAGGAAATAATAGACGGTTTGTGGACATCTGTAGTTGGTGGAACTACTTGATGGAGAAAGTTTGGTAACAGCAGTTTTTGAATCTGGGTAATGGAGTTCAGAGATGCCAATCTTGGCTGATCCTAAATTCTAATGATCTTTATCCGACGTTATGAAATGTTTTTAAAAAGTGTAGATGATCACTATAATACATAAAAAAACACTTAACAATGATGTGAAAACATTTGAAAAGAGAACAAAAACTTAAGCAACACTTTATCATGTATACCTCCACATCAAGGCAGAAAAACTCCCCAACTGTTAATGATAAAAGCTACATAAATCAGCTTTTCAACTGTTCCTGTATGAATCACCTCTCATCTGACCCACCTGCTCCTGCCTCTATTTAAGCTGCTTGCACCCTGTCATCAGGGCCAGATTAGTCTTGTTCTCTTTAGCCAGTGGTGAGTTTTTTAGAGTTTGTTGGTGTTTCTGACTTCCTGATTCTGACCTGTTCTGCCTCTCAACCACTGAGCCTGCCTGTTCCCGTCTGAACGGTCTGCCTGACCTGGCATCGGACTCCTGGATCTCTGAGCCTGCCCGTTCCTGTTCTGATCTGTTTGCCTGTCCTGGCTTCGGACTCCTACATGTTTCTCTGGGGCTGCAGCATCTGTGACACTCTGGCCGGCGCCTGCCGTATCTTGTTGGCAGCCCACCGGCTGTATCCTACCTTGTCCTCTGGGCATGGACTTAACTTTTAAACCAGTTTAGTGACTCACGTTCATAATCTTCCGGCATTATATTTACATGGTCACTAACCTGTGTTTACTCTCTCCAGACTTCCCTGCCTCAGATGCCCTAGCCACTGCAACTACAGTTTTAATTAAACTCTTTTTGAATAATCCTACTGCCTGTCTTGCCTGAATACTGGGTCCTCTGTTCTGAGCCTTGATAGTTCAAAATATCCACTCGAATGGACAGCAGAGGTAAGGTCAGAGAAAGAGGTAGCATGACTAGGACAGATACATTGTCTGACCGCGCCCTAATATGGAGCTCAGAGCATGATTATGACGAAATCATAATGGGTGGCATCTCTTCTAATAAAAACCTTTTTTTATTTATTCAGTTCTTTGTTATCTAATATTTTGAGCAATGAAATGACAATAGTAAGTATAGTTCATATTACGACAGAGGTACTAATTTATTA